CTAAGGAGGGCCGAGGCGTCCAGGCAGCGTCTCTGCCCTATAGATTCCACTGCCACCATCTTGCAAAGAACCTTCCTGGGCCTCGGCGTGGGGCTGGGCGCCCTCTTGCTCCTGGGCACCCTTGGGTGCTGCCTGCGGCGCTGGTGAGTCCTGCGGAGGGGGCCCCGGCGTCCGAGAAAGGGGCCCAGGTGTCCGGGAAGGGGCCCAGGCATCCGGGAAGGGCCCAGGAGTCTGGGAAGGGACCGAGGATTCCGGGAAAGGGCCCAGGTGTCTGGGAAGGGCCCAGGAGTCCGGGAAGGGGCCCAGGCATCCGGGTGTCCCCGCAGGTGGTGGTGCCAGGTGGCAGCAGATGAAGAACCAGTTGTGGAGCCACCAGGGACCATCCTCCTCTGCAACAAGAAGGTACCCGATGACCTCCCATCCCCCACCTTCCCGGACTCCTGGGCCCCTTCCCAGACTCTTGGGCCCCTTCCTGGATGCCGGGGCCCTTCCTGGATGCCTGGGCCCCTTCCTGGACACCTAGGCCCTTCCTGGGCTCCTGGGCCCTTCCCGGACTCCTGGGCCCCTTCCCGGACACCTGCGCCCCTTCCTGGATGCCTGGGTCCCTTTGCAGCCACGGACACCTGGGCCCCCATTGGGTCCCGCCGATGCCCCCCTGAGTTACTCATCCCTGCTCTTCCTGCCCAGACGCTCGTTGGGGACCGGGGCCAGGTACCATGTCCGTCCGTCCCCCGGCCACGTGTCCCCCTGTCCCCGAGGGGCCCAGGCGTCCGGGTGACCCCCACGTCCTGCCGTGTCCTTGTCAGGTTGCAAGGGGACACCGTGGTCTACAGCGTCCTCAAGAGGAGCCAGGGTCCCCCCGTGTCCCTGCATGTCCCCCATGTCCCTCCATGTCCCCCAATATCTCCCATGTCCCTCCATGTTCTCTCAGACATTTGGGGACATTGGGGTCACCGGCATGTCCCCCATGTCCCTCCATGTCCCCCAATGTCCCCCATTCCTCTCAGGCTCCTGAAGGTCCCGACTATGAGAACGCCCCCCCTGGCCAGTGACATGGGGACAGGGATGAACACGAGGACGGGGACCTGCTCTACACGGCACTGGCCCTGTCCTCCCCCGGGACATCGCAGGGCCATCATGGGGACGGGGACAGCAAGGACACGGTGGAATACGCGTCCCTGCACCACTGAAGAACATAGGGGGACGTTGGGGGACATGGGGAACATGCGGGGACATGGGGGGGGGACGTGGAGGAACATGGGAGAACATGGAGGGACATGGGAGAACATGGAGGGACATGGCGGGGCATTGGGGACATGGAGGGACATGGGAGGACCCAGCTGTCCTGGCCTGGAATGGCCCTGTCCCTTGTCCCCTGTCTTGTCCCCATCTTCGTGTTGGGTTGGGTCGACTGGGTTGAGCTGGGTTGAGATGAGTTGGGTTGGGTTAAGTCCAGTTGGATTGAGTTGAGTTGAGTCGGGAATGGGTTGAGTTGAGTTGATTTGGGTTGAGATGACTTGGGTTGGGTTGTGTTGGATTGAAATGAGTTGGGTTGGGTTTAATTGGGTTGGGTTGAGATGAATTGAGTTGGGAATGGGTTGAGTTGAGTTGGATTGAGTTGGGTTGAGTTGAGATGGGTTGAATTGAGTTGGAATTGGGTTGGGTTGGGTTCAGATGAGTTGGGATGAGATGAGTGGGGTTGGGTTGGGAATGGGTTGAGTCCAGTTGAGTTGAGTTGGGTTGAGATGAGTTGGGTTGAGTTGAGATGGGTTGAATTGAGTTGGGTTGAGATAGGTTGGGTTGAGCTGGGTTGGGTTCAGATGAGTTGAGTTGGGTTGGGATGAGTTGAGTTGGGTTGGGAACGGAGAACATGCACGGTCATGTGGGGGATGTGGAGGGACATTGGGGACATGGGAGAACATGGAGGGACAGGGCGGGGCATTGGGGACATGGAGGGACATGGAGGGACCCAGGTGTCCTGGCCTGGAATGGCCCCTTCTGGCAATAAAAGTCACCTGTGGGGTTATTAAGTCTTGTGTTGGCCCAGACACCAGGGCCCCTCAGACACTAGGGTCCATGGTGGGGTGTGGAGGCATCCCTGGATGCCTGGGCCCTTGCGCTGTCCCAGGACTCATGCAGGTCTCTGTGCCTTGTCCCCTGTCTTGTCCCCATCTTCGGGTTGGGTTGGGTTGGGTTGAGATGAGTTGAGTTGGATCGAGATGAGTTGGGTTGAATTGGGTTCAGATGAGTTGAGTTGGGTTGGGTTGAGTTGGATTGAGCTGGGTTCAGATGAGTTGGGTTGGGTTGAGTTGGGTTGGGAATGGGTTGAGTCCAGTTGAGTTGAGTTGGGTTGAGATGAGTTGGGTTGAGTCCAGTTGAGTTGAGTTGGGTTGAGATGGGTTGAATTGAGTTGGATTGGGTTGAGATGGGTTGGGTTGAGTTGGGTTGGGTTGAGTTGCGTTGAGTCCAGTTGAGTTGAGTTGAGCTGAGGTGAATTAAGGTGCACTGGGTTGAGTTGGGATTGGGCTGAGATGGGTTGGTTTGAGATGAGTTGTCTTGGGTTGAGTTGGGTTGGGATTGAGTTGAGTTGGGTGGGGAATGGGTTTAATCCAGTTGAGTTGGGTTGAGATGAGTCGAATTGAGTTGGGATTGGGCTGAGATGGGTTGGGTTGAGATGAGTTGGTTTGGGTTGAGTTGGGTTGGGAATGGGTTGAGTCCAGTTGGGTTGAGTTGAGTTGGGTTAAGTCTAGTTGGGTGGCTGGCACCAACATGGGTTGAGGTGCGTTGAGAGCCCCCAGGGTCTCCAGAACCTCCCAGGGCCTCCAGGAACTCCCGTTATTCAGAAGGGTCTCCAGGACCTCCACCATTCCCAGGGTCTCCGTAATCCCAAGGGCCTCCAAAACCTCCCAGGGTCTCTCTCCTGTCCTCAGCCTCTCCCCCCTCCACTTCTTCTTCCCTGGATGCCTGGGCCCCTCGGCGCCGAGACCGTGGAACTAGAGGGAAGGGGTGGAGGAGCCCCTGGACTCCTGGGGCCTCCTCCCCCCACGGCAGGACCATAAACCTGGACCTGGTGCTAAATACAGACCCCCAGGGCCAGGGGGTCCAGGTGTTCGGGCCCTGCCTCCCCCCATGGTGAAATGGGAACCCACAGAGGCCTAAATACCCCCCATTCGGACACCCGGGCTCCTCCCAGATGCCTGGGCCCTTCCCCAGACTCCTGGGCCCCTTCCTGGACTCCTGGGCCCTTCCCAGGACTCCTGGGCCCTTCCTGGGACTCCTGGGGCCTTCCCGGACTCCTGGGCCCCTCCCGGATTCCTGGGCCCTTCCTGGACGCCTGGGCCCTTCCCGGTTGTGGTCAGGAACCTCAAACTCCCCTGACGTCACTCGAAACCACTTCCCCCTCCACCCCCTCGAAAAAGGGCCCAGGCGTCCGGGGATTCCCTCTCCCGCTGGGTCCCTCCCAAAGGCGGCACTGGGAGCTGCTGCCGGAGCCGCCCGGACGCCTGGGCCCGTCAGAGGGAGAAGGAGGTGAGAGAGGGAGCGGGGATGGGCGGGGCAGGGGGGTGTCCCGGACTTCTGGGCCCCCTGAAGGGGTTTTGGGGGGACCCGGATGCCTGGGCCCCTCAGGGCTCTTGTGGGGGGGAGAAATGGGGCAAACTGGGAGGGCCTGGGGAAGAGGGGGCAGGACCCAGCGCCTGGGACCTTCCCGGACGCCTGGGTCCACTCCAAGCAGTTGAACAGTTGAACCCTCCATCAACCCACCCAACCTCCCCCTTTTCCAGCCCAACCAAGCAACCACCAACCACCCACCAGCCACCAACCAACCACCAACCATTAACCAACCACCCAACCACCCACCCACCACCAACCACCCAACCACCAACCAACCATTAACCAACCACCAACCACCTAACCACCAACAACCCACCAACCACCACCCACCAACCACCCACTATCAACCACCAACCACCAGCCACCCACCAACCACCATCCAACCAACACCAAGCAAACCAACCACCACCAAGCAACCACCAACCACCCACCATCAACCAACCACCAACAAGCAACCACCAACCACCCACCATCAACCAACCACCAACAAGCAACCACCAACCACCAAACAACCACCACCAATCATCAACTAACCAATCAACCACCCACCCCAACCGTGATGCTGGTCCTCACCATCTACGTGGCCACCTTGAGCGTGGGCCTCCCGGCCAACCTCTTCGCCTTGGTCACCATCCTGGGCAAGGTGCGCCGGGGCCTGGTGCCGGCCGACGTCCTCCTGCTCAACCTGACGGCCGCCGACCTCCTCCTGCTGCTCTTCCTGCCCTTCAAGGTGGCTGAGGCGGCCACGGGGGACATGACGTGGCCCCTGCCCACCGCCCTGTGCCCCATCGCCAACTTCTGCTTCTACTCCAGCATCCAGTTAAGCAGCCTCTTCTTGGCGGCCCTCAGCGTCGAGCGCTACCTCGGTGTTGCCTTCCCGCTCCGCTCCAAGCGCTGGCGCCGCCCGGGCGTCTACGTGGCCGCCAGTTGTGTCCTCTGGCTCCTGGCCACCTCCCACTGCTCTGTGGTCTTCGTTGCCGCCTTCCACGATGCCACCAATGAGTCTGTGGAAGCTGACGAAGGGTCTGGGGTGGAGCCGCACGGGCACGGGGAGGTCAAGGCAGTTGGGGTAGCCGCTCCTGAGGTCTTGGAGGTCAATGGGTTTGAGGTGGCCCAAGCTGAGGTCTTCATGGCTGATGGGGTTGAGATGGTCAGTCCCAAGGTCTTCAAGGCCAATCGGGGTCAGGTGAGGAATCCCAAGGTCTTCAAGGCCAATAGGGTTGAGGTGGCCCATCCTGAGGTCTTCACGGGCACTGGGGTCCATCCTAAGGTCCTCAAGGCAAATGGGGCTCAGATGACCCATCCTAAAATCTCTGTGGGTGATGGGGACCATTCAGAGGGCTTGGAGGCTAATGGGATTGAGATGGTCAATCCAGAGGTCTTGGAGGCCAATGGGGTCGAGATGGCCCATCCTGAGGTCTTGGGGGCCAATAGGGTTGAGGTGGCCCATCCTAAGGTCTTGGCAGCCAATGGGGTTGAGGTGGCCTATCCTGAGGTCTTGGCGGCCAATGGGGTTAAGGTGGCCCATCCTGAGGTCTTCAAGGCCAACAGAGCTCAGACGGTCAAACCTGAGGTCTTTGTGGCTAAGGGGGACAAGATTCCCACCGGGTCCAACCCTGGTGCGTTCATTGCCCACAAAGCCAAGAGCTCCAACCCCAAAGCCTTCATGGCCAATAGAGCCAGAACCTCCAGCCATGATGACCACATGTCCAAAAAAGACATGACCTCCATCGCTGACATCTTCAAGGGCAACAGCTCCAAGACCTCCAAACTCTGTGTCTTTACATTCAATGGAGTCAAGATCTCCAATCCCAGTGCCCTCATGACCAACAAAGCCAAGACTTCCAACCCCAACAACTTCATGGCCAAAAGACCCAAGATCTCCAACTTCAACATCTTCACATCCAATGGAGCCAAATTCTCCAATCCAAATGTCTTCAAGGCCAACAGAGCCAAGACCTTCAACCCCAACATCTTCATAGGCCGAAGGACCAAGACCTCCAACCTTGGCATCTTCATGGCCAATGGAGCTAAGACTTCCAATCTTGATATCTTCACATCCAATGGAGTCAAGATCTCCACCCCCAACATCTTCATGGCCCACAAAGCGAAGACCTCCAACCCCAACATCTTCATAGCCCGAAGGACCAAGACCTCCAGCCCCAACATCTCGAAGACCCCCAGCCCCAACATCTCGACGGCCGCCTCCAAGCAGGGCTTCAAGTGCTATGATGACTTCTCCAGGGCACAGCTGCGCTTCGTCTTGCCACTGCGCCTGGAACTCTTCCTCCTCCTCTTCCTCGTGCCCTTCGTGGTCACCATCTTCTGCTACGTTAACTTCATCCGGGCCCTCCTGGCCCGTCCCAACACCCCCTTGGAGAAGAAGCAGCGGGCGGTGGGCTTGGCTGTGGCCACCATGGTCAACTTCAGCGTCTGCTTCGCCCCCTTCAGCGTCTCGCACGTGGTGGGATTCGTGGAGCAGCAGAGTCCCACCTGGCGCCATTACGTGCTGGTCCTCACCAGCCTGAACGCCGCCCTGGACCCCTTGGTCTTCTACTTCTCCTCCACTGTGGTGCAGCAGGCGGTGGCCAGGCTGGTGGCCGCCATGCGGCGCAAACTGGTGGCCTGTTGTTGCCACCGGCCCGGGGGCTCCCG